CCTCGGCCGATGACGATCGGCCGACCTTGCGAGTACCGGTATTCAGATTACGTGGAATATACCAACTCTCCTCGGTATTACAAGTCGAGGCGAGATAGGCCGAAGAGATTCCGGCCGCGAAAAAAACGCGAGATTTTTCGAACTTGAATGATGACGATGATGATGAAACCAATATTGACAAGTTGAAAATCAACGAGAAATAGAAGGGAAATATGAAAAAGAACTTTTCTCAATTTTTATAATAATAATTATAATAATTACACGATTAGAAGTAGAGATGAGATTTGTAACGAATTTCGAGAACTGGAAAATTTATTTAAAATATTACTTATGCTAATATCACTAATAAGTAACTTAATCATCTTAATGAGTAATATATGAAATGTCCAGAAACATTACATTGTCTTTGGGCCAATATCGCTGGATTTTTCAAATAGCGAGAAAAAAAGTATTACAACATATTAAAGTCCAATGAGTGCGTATTTGCAAAATTCCTTCCGCTATATTTATTAAACTAAGACTCGCGCGTTGCTGCAAGAGAGAGAAAACGAGAGAGGGCAGAATGAGAAAAGGGGATGAAATTTCAAGTCCCGTGATATTCGGTTTCAATTAAATCCGAGGATTCGCGCGCTTAATGAAAAATGTGCCGGGAACTTTCCGCTTGAAGCGCTCTTCTCCTTCTCGGGGAATGATTATTCGCCGGATGCACCGCGCCGTTGCACCTCTCGCGGAAAGCCGTCGTTTCCTAGCCGCGGCTTTATAAAGCGTATATGCATTGCGTTCCCTCGGAACGCAATGGCGACGCGAGGAATATCGAAAGCAAATCCGCTCGCTCGCGCGATTTCCACAGCGCGCGCGAGCGATCCCGACTTCCGACTTTGCTCCGTTTTTAATTCGCGCACGCGGTAACTTTCACACGTTTCGCAGGACGCAACCGTTATGCCAGACGCTCGCGTGAAAAGGAAGCAACATACGGCAACAACGTTCGCAGGCCTGTGGTGTAATATTTCTTAACCCCGCCTGCGTCCTGGTAATTTTACCAGGAGTACCTCGCTATTCTCTTCCGTATGAAAGAGAGCCGACGTGAGTGACGCAAAGTGTAACGAAAAGCCATCCATCCATTTAAATTAATAGAGAATTTAATTAAAGAAATTATCAAAAGCACATGCCGCGCGATAATTTTTCGATGCTTTCCGCTATATTTGAATCCGCTCGCCTGTGCGAGGGAGTTGTTTGTGACGAGATGAAAAAAAAAAAAAAAAAAAGTAAATCTCTCTCTCAGATGTAAGCGTGGCCGATGAAGAATTGATTCGCAAAGTTGATTAAAAGCCGTTCTCGTTGAAACGACTAAAATCACACGGGAAGATCGATTTTTCGATGGAGCTTTTCCGCTGGACGCTCGAGGAATATTCACGAAACGCCACGAAACAGTTAAAAAAATACTCCGACATCGTCGATCCAGCGTGTCTATCTCGCGAAGTAGCTGCTCAAGGGTCGAAAAATCGGCCGGTACCGACGGCGCGACCGCGGGGCGCCGTTTACGCGTGTTTTAAAATCAATGGGTGATAAACGAGGACGCGATCGGCAAACAATACGTCGTGGTACAGAATATTGCGCTGCTGCAATAACCCTGTACAACTTTGCTTTTACCTCGGCGAGCATGCCGCCGAAATACGGCCAGGTAAATATTTGAATAGCTCCTCCTCCTCCTCCTCCTCCTCCTCCTCCTCCTCCTCCTCCTCCTCCTCCTCCTCCTTCTCCACCTCTTCTTCCTCCTCCTCTTCCATATAAAATATAAAATTCGCGAGTAAGGGCGTTGAATAAAAACACCTGAGCGATACGTTCTTGTGTTATTTTGCTTAATTACCATCTGCGACGAAACCGCCGATTGTTTATTTCCATTAAAACGCGACGGTAACACTTTTAAAGTGTTAATCAAGTTTGCGTCGCATAGAGTGTTTCGTTTTCCCCGCTGAACACGCTGCTTTGAAATAACACGGAAAAGAATCTCGAAAATTTGCTTGAATAATAATGCAAGCACCGCCAAAAGTACTGTCTCTTCTCTGACAACACTCGACGGAAATTTTTAGAGCTCGGACACAATAAATGGGAAATAAAGAATCAAGTATAAAAAATTGTTAACAGAAAATTATTTTTGCCAAAGAAAAGAATACTTCAGTATTCATTGAAGCATAATTTTTCATACAAAAAATTTTCGATTCTAATTCCCTAGATAGAGAAGACAGTTCTGCTGGCAAACCTAAAAATTTCGCCAGATCGGAAAATAATTTTATTATCTGGACTGCCAAAATTATTATAGATAGGATGCTTAAGTATGACTATTACAAAAATGTATAATTTATCTTCTGGGAACCAATTTGAACATCGTACGTAATAATATTCGGAAGTTCAACAAAATTATTTTCGGACTTCTGTATTCGGTCAAATTTTTAGATTTGTCAACAAAATTTTTCTCTCCGCGTACGTTTGACTCTTTCTTCCATTATGTTCGAAATCCTTTACAAATCCGGATTAGTCGCGTAAAATCATTAAGATGTAAAAGAGTGAGGCGGCAATTATGAGAGAACGGAGAGACTACCGTTCTCTCGTGATATTATTTCAAGGGTTAACGCGGACGACGCTCTCTAAATGGCAGCGTACACACAATGTTGCACCGGGAGACCGCACGGCGATCCCGGTTCATTATCGCGACTGCTCGCGAGGCGAACTTAGACCGCGAGTTCCGTAATTGCTCCCAGCGAAGTGTTACATCCGCATGGGCGCGAAAACAAGCCGAAATTGAGTAAGGTGTTCGTGACCGGCGAAAGTTTGCATTAACGACATTACGTCCCTCCATGTGTCCCGTGTAAACAAGATTCTGTCGAGTGGTAGGTGCGCATTTTCAATAGATGATCTTTCGCGAGATTAGTTCGTTCGAGACTCCAACCGCCGCGACAAAAAGCAAAATTGCATACTCGTAATATCACAGCGGGATCTTCGTATAATGATGAGTTTGCTCGTTCGGTAACTGATAACCGATGATAACGCAAAGGGACGGACTGTTATATGTTACAAATAATTGCAAAACACACATCACATTATGTCATAATTATGTTATATTGCTCGTTAAAAAAAAAATTGATATCGTTAAAATAGGATATTGGATTTATAACGTTCGCGCCAATAACATTTCAAATATTATTGTTTAACGATCATTGTTATAAGCTAAAAGTTATTTGAAATGTATTTCAATTACTCATTATTTTGTGTATGGAAATATTCGAATGAGAAATTGTATTTTTTCATCTAGCTCGGCTTTATGTTGGTGAAATTCAGTTATACATATATGCCATATTTTACAATTGGATATATTTTCTCCTTTTTTCCGCGCTTCACAAAATTAAATGGTGTAAATATTAATATCTAGGTTATGCAAAAGTCGGAAATGGACTGTACAATGAGGAAGACTAATTAACATGAATATAGAACATGGTCCAGTACCAAAATCATTCATGTTTCAAAAATTAAAAAAGATCCATCTAAAAATTTCAATACAAATTTCCCTGTTGTTCGATCATATTAAATTATTATTAATAAAATGTCTGTCCAGTCAAATAAAATTGCGAGAGAATCGAGAGATCGTTACCAGTTTTCAATATTTAGATATCTTCAGAACTAATGTCAGATCAGAATCAATTTAATAAAATAAAATCCAATTTACGACATTAAACAGTAAAAAAATTTTCATTATTTTTATTTAGTCCTATAAAATCTAGCTTGCCAATGAATCTCTCATTTTCAATCGTTTATTTCGCTCATACAGCTCGCATATATAGCTCGGAGGCTATTGATTTCAATATATTAATTAAAATACCTTGATATTAGAATTTTATTTTCAAAATGCGTCAAATAAATAAATTAGATACATTGCGATTACAGTAAAATTAAAATTTTATAAGTTCAAACGAATAAAACTATAATTCGCAAATTACGGCTTGAAATTTCAAATAAATCTTTAACTTATAATCACAGAAAATGTAATCTTGGGTTACATTCTTGCTCAGTCTTGTAAAAACGTGGAAAAAACGAGAAATTCAGAGAATTCCAAAAATAATACTTGATTTGTAAATTATATATTTTGAAATATCAAAACATATAATTTTGATATTTCAAGTTTAAATCAAACATTTTATCGAGAAGAATAATTTCTTATGCTTAAGTTTTAATTATCGTTGACCAGTTCAAATGCTACACAGAAGGAACAGTTTTGTTGAAATATTTAAAAATGTATAAATACAAATTTGAAAATAACTTTGAGTCAAAATAATTATATACCTTAAATATGATAATTGCTACAAAATTATTTATATTCTAACTAATTAATCAAACATCTTACATAAATATTTTGATGAGCCAAAAACAAAATTATCTTCAGATTTACTGATCTTCAGATTTATTATCTAGCCAAATTTTTAATATACTTCAGTCTAAAACTGTTTTTTCTGTGTGTGTGTGTGTGTGTGTGTGTGTGTGTGTGTG